CCCCACCGCAGCCAGCAAGCCCATGAGAGGCAGCAGCCCCCAGACAGGAAGAGCAGGCCCCTCACTGGCAACCACCAACCCCAGGGGCAAAACTGAGCTGTGTTCACACCTGGTCATGACAGGTCTTCACAGGGAGCACTGGATAAGCATCCAAGGGGCCCCACAAATGCTGAGCAACCCCCTTGTGGGTGCCCAAAGCCAAGTGCCTTGTGGGGAGACTCACCTGATGCCCCCGTGTGCTTCCCCACACAGCTGGGCCAGGCCAGGGTGGGACCTCTCCAGGCTGGGTCACATGCCTTAATGACACCCCGTGCAGCTGGCAGGTGGCCACAGGGTCAGACGTCCCTCCTTGGGTTACTCCATGTCCCCTCCCCTGTGGATGCCGGCACCCGGATGATGTATGCCTCGGCCCAGGCCAGCCCCGGACCGCAGACTCATTTTTTGTGTGCTTGTGGTTTTTCTTCCCACCTCCTTTAAAGTTTGGCGCCAACAGTTAAAAAGTGAGATGGTTTAGGGAGCTCTAGTGGCCTAGTGGCAAGAAGCTGCGCTGCAATCCCAGAGGTACACGGTTCAAACACACCAGATGTTCTCCTGGAGAAGGAGGGGCAATCTCCTATACCAGTCAGATCCGATTTGACGGTATACACACAAAAAATAATAAAATAAAAATTAAAGAAAAAGAAAAAAAATGAGATGGTTTGTCGAAGTCCAGTCAGCCTTAAAGCCCAGTCAGGCTGACCTCTCTGTGCCTGGCTTCTTCTGACGGCCATTCGAGGGAGGTGCCGACTAGCCCACCGATGTCCTGGGCCCCATCCAAGGAGACCCTATGGTGCCTGGCATCCCCCTGGCAGAGGTGGCACTGTAGTTGTCCCTGCTGAGGAGGGGCTGATAGGGCCTGTCCTGTCCAGGGCTGCTGAGGTCTCTGCGGACTGCAGGGGCACAGGGGGGCCAGGGTACTGCGGCTGCCCCCATCCACACTGCTGATCCAGACAGACCCTCCTGCATCCCCAGTGGCCTTGCTGGGCTCTCCTCAGATGCCACCTGGTCCTGGGTCACAGGCACAAAGAGGTCTGTCCCCTCATGTCCTGGGCCATAGGCCTCCACCGGGGTGACTTGTGTCTCTCAGCTGCCTGGCAGCCCACTGTACATAGGACAGCCTTACCCCTCGGCTGTCTCCCGGGGACACCCTGCTCCGGGGGCTCCTTCATCTGGTCTGAGTGGGTGGTGGACTGTAGCCCACAGGCCAGCCACCCCACCGCTGAGGCCCCAGCACCCCTTTTGCTGCCTGGCTGCACTGGGCAGTGGCCACTCCCGGCTCCACACCACAAACCTGGGAGTCCAGCTGTGGGCACTGCTGCCCAGCCCTGGAGCCACCCCATTCCTGCACCAGCTCCGACATCACAAGCTGCCAGCATGCCCTGTCCAGGTCTGCAGAACAGAACGAGCAGGGGCCAGGGAGCTGGTGTGTGTGTGGGTGTCCTTCCTGCCCCAGCACAGCCTCTCACCAGCCTGCTTCTAGGCCTTGGCAAGTCAAGAGCAAAGCCAAGGCATGGTGTCCCGTCCGCCCGCCGCTAATAGCGTCTCCGCAGGAATATAAACAAGAGACGACACGCTGTTATTACAGGATCCTGCGAGGGTGTGGTTCCGCCTCCCGCTCCCCCGGCTCCAGACCTGGGGGTACTGCGCGCTCCACCTTGGCTTGTGGGTTCTGAGACCTCAAACCCTGTATCCACCCAGCCTGAGTGAGACCTGGGACCAGCACTGGGGGTGACGCCCAGGAACACACCCCTCACACACACAGTCACTTGTCCTGATAGAACAGTTGAGGGGTGGGCACTTAGAAGGCCCTGAGCAATGGCGGGGTTCAGTGAGAGTGGGGGGCCAGCCTGCACCGTGGTGGCTCTTAGCAGCTCTGCCTGGGGCATCGAAGGGGTGGAGGTGGCCTCAGAAAGCTGGTTTTGCAGACGCCAGCTCTCCAGCAGCCACCCGGCCAGGAACACGAGCACGCCGCTCACAGCTGTGTTCCAGGGACGACGTCAACGTAGGAGACAGGCCCCACGACGTGCCCGCTGTCACCTGGCCTGCAGCACTGGTCGTACACAGCAGCCTCCTTTTGGGATGTTGTGTGCACCGGTGACACATGGCAGAAGCATCTTCTGGGGATGTCAAGTGCACTAGGGGCATGAGGCAGCCTTCTCTGGGGGCATCGTGGGTATGGGTGACACAGGGCAGGAGTGTCCTCTGGGGGTATCTTGAGCACCTATGTTGAATAGCACTCCTAGTCTCCGCCCACAAGGTATCTGGAGCACACATCCCCCCTCAAGCTGTGACAGCCCCAAATATATCTCGACCTCAGTCTCCTGGGTGGTCACATCTGGAAAAAAGCCAGTACCCTCAGCCCCATGACCTTTTACACTCACTGTCTGCCTTGCAGGTGCAATGGGCAAGTCTGAGGTCTTTGGGGTGACCTCAGCTTCTCCAATGCTAGCTGGACATGCTGGCAGTGCTACTCCTCCCTGCCCCCCCCGCCCCATGGGGACATTCCAACTACCTCAGTCAGGGGACAAGAGGATGGCCTGTGTCCTGGCTGGACCACCTCCTCACTGGCCTGGGGCCTCTAGAGACTGGATTCCCGTACCTTCTGCCTCAGGTGGAGGCAGGCTAAACAGAGGAGCCCCAGTGGGAACATGAGGATTGAGGTGGAGGCTGGACCCCAAACTCCAGGTGGTGGTGAGAGGCCTGTGTGTGGGGAGCACAGGGAATCTTTGGTGGCCAGACACCACTTGCAGTGAGGGGTACAGAGCAAGGGGACCTGCAGTGATCAGGGGACCCTGTGCAGAGATGGGGTACAGGGCTGGGAGGCCCACGGGACCTGTGGCGGTCAGGGGGCCACGTGTGGTAATGGGTTGTGGGACTGGGAGGCGAGCGGGGAGCACGGGGGACCTGTATCGGTCAAGGGCTGGGAGGCTCACAGGGAGCATGAGAGAAGCTGTGATGCTCAGCCCTGGGGCAATGCTCCGGGCTTGATACCACAGTCTGGCCCATGTGGGCCCCTTGCTGGACTAGGGGATGTGGGGTGCTCTCTGACTTTCCCTCAGGCCCCTCCCCACCCAGCCGGACAGTCTTCCTGGGACAGACCTGCAGGGACAAAGGCCGGCTCCTGGAGTGGGGCCGAGTCTGCAGCTCAGTGTGACCCCAACAGGGGAGTCCCAAGGTGTGGTGTCCCTGCATCCCATACCCAGTGGTGTTGCACAAGGACAGGGTGAAGCGAGTTCACAAAAAAATGTTCCCGGGGAAGTTACTGGAAATGTTTGTATCCGTCTCCTGGAGTGTGGGCCTGGCGGGACCCAAGACTGAGATGTGGGGCTCTCCAACATGGCTCGGGGGCTGACGGAGTCAGGGGGAGGTTTGGGGGCTGATGGGCAGAAGTCCCCGCTTGTAAGGACAATAAAGGAGGTTGCTGTCTCACAGGTGCTTTCTTCCAGGGCTGCCAGGGGTCCTGGAAACCCAGCGGGAACCCTGCAATAGTTAAGAGCTACTAACCAAAAGGTGGGCAGTTCGACCCTAGCAGCCTCTCCATAGGTGAGGAGGCGGCTAGCTTCTGTAGATTCCCGCCTCGGAAACGCTGTGGGCCAGTTCTTCCGGGCCACTGTGAGTCAGGATGCGTAGACAGGGAACAGCGGCCCGGAGAAACCCCAAGCAGGGAAAGCACTCAGCTGCTGAGCTGAAGGTTGAGGGTTTGAGTCTCCCCCAAGGAAGAAAAAAGGCCTAGAAATCAACTGCTAAAAATCCCATCAGGAAGCCCAGGGAGCATAGCGCTGACCTGACTCTCATGAGGGGCTGGGCCAAGGTCAGGTACAGGAGCCCTCTGGCCGGCTGAGGGCAGACAAGCGCCTCCTCTGGTCAGGGAGCACAGGGATCCCCCTGTGCTCGCTCCCACTATGTGAGGTCAGGAGGGAAGGTGGACAGGAACAAGAAAGGGCATGAAAGGTTTCCTGGGCCAGTGAGAGAGGAGTCCTAGGAGCAGACCCTGACGGACAGAGGCCCCTCGAACACCTGCCCACGCCCACCTCCTGTGTGTGTGTGTGTGTGTGTGTGTGTGTGTGTGCGCTCCGCCCGCCTGGTACGTCTGCCCCCGCCCGCCTGGGGTGTGTCCTCCGGGTGGAGGCCTAGGTTCCCCTGAGAAAAAGCAGCTCCCCAGGTTGCTGAGACAACAGTCTCCCCAGTAGTAAGGTTGCTAGGAGGAAGAGAGGCCCCAGCGGGCAGTCACCCCAGGCCGGGTCTCCCTCCTTCAGCGCCTTCTGGAGGCGTCTGAGGTTCCTGGTTGTTGGGATCACATGGCCCTGTCCCTCTGGGGTGCAGTGCACAGGGCCAGGCTCGCACACAGTGGACGGGGCGCGGTGCTTGTCAGGCCTTGCCCCACGTGCCCACAAACTTCTCTGTCTAGGGGGCTGCACCATGAGAGGGGCTCCTGGGGGCAGCAGTTGTCGCGGATGTGGGGACTGGCGAGTTCCTGACCTTCCATGCACCTTGCAGGACCCATCTCGGGGAGCATGGGCCAGCACTGAGTTCCAGGCTGGACCTTGGTTGTTGGCAGGCAGGCCTCCTTCCAGAGACCACCAGGCTCCCATGCAGCCATGGGAAACACAAAGGTCTCTCAGGACAGCCAGGCTGGGGGTGGGGAAGAGGTCAGCACCCAGGACAGGCCAGAAGGGGCTCCCCCCGCCCAGGAGCTGGAAGACAGCTTGGGGTTGTTGTGCGCAGGCAGAGGGGGATATGAGGGCCCCTCCTCCTGGCCCCTTTGCTCCTCTACTCCCAGCTCCTTGTTCCCTGCCCCTTCCCCCTTCCTCCCAGGCCCGCTGCCCCCTGGTCAGTGCAGTCACACAGGCTGTGGCCACAATTTTGAGACAAAGATTTTTAAACACAGTCGCAGTGTCCCGAGGCTCAGGGTACAGGTCTGTGCGAGGGGCAGGTGGCGGCCATGGGGGCGGGGAGCACGTTCACCACTTGAGGAAGACCATGGCGGCCAGGACAGCATAGCCCAGCACCAGGAAGAGCACCTTCAGCAGCCGGTCACTCTTCTCCTCCAGCTCCTTGGCCAGGATCTCAAAGAAGGTGACGAAGAGGAAGGTGCCACCTGCCATGCCCTGCAGCAGCACCGAGGCCACGCTGCTGGGCATCCCCTGCGCGCTCTCGATGCCCAGCCCAATGCCGATGCCCAGTGGGATCATGATGCTGACCATCACGGCCAGCTTGGCTGCCTCCCGGAGCGGCATGGTGCTCCGGGCCATGCTGATGCCCAAGGCTACGGCCACCAGGGTCTCGTGGATGGCCACACCCACAAAGAGGCTGACCACCTTCTCGCCCTCCTCCTGCAGGCCCAGCGCCAGGCCCTCGAAGATGGAGTGGGCCGAGAGTGCAAAGACCAGGCTGAGCAGCCGCAGGGGGCTGGAGCGGGACAGCTCCTGGGCGCTCAGGCCATGGCTGTGGGTGTGCGGGCTGGGCTCTGCGTACAGCGCGTGGCCCCGCGTGCTGCCCATGAAGGGGCTCTCGTACTCGGAGTCACTGCCCGCGTCCGAGCCAGCGTTGAAAGTCTCCAGGTCGATGAAGGAGGGCTTCTCCTTGCGGAAGGTCAGGATCAGCTGCTCCAGGAAGACGGTCATGAAGAAGCCCACCATCATGATGGTCTCGGCCAGTGGGTAATCAGTGCTTACGTGGCCCAGGCTCAGGACCTTCTGGAGCTGCGGTGGAGGGCACAGGGGAGAGAGGGTCAGAGGTGGGAACTGCCATGACAGAGTCTGTCAAAGGTAATGGTTCTCATTCTCAATATGCAGCCCACATCCA